GTGTCCAAGTCCACTCGCGCTTCCCCTCGGCCCGCTACCCGCCTTTGCAGCGCGACCCGTCCGGTGGCTGGAGCGCTGGCCGGCTCGCCAGCCTCACATCCTTGCGGTCCGGGAGGAAGACCTCGGGTAAATATAGGCCGGCGCGAACCATTCGGCGCCGGGGCGGGGGAGCCGCGCGGGAGAGTCTCCGTTTAGTCTCGGGCGCCCGGCGGGTTCCTGGTCTCTTAAAGGGACCTGGTTGCAGTCATTGGTCGAGGGAATGGGGACGCTGGTCTAATCCAGCTTTTACACCCCAAATTTACCAGCGTCCCTTTTACCTACTGATATCGCCAAGACCGGAGTTACCCCACAGGAAAAGCAACCTGATTTCTGACACTCCGCCCCCAGGATGAATTGCAACTCACTGAATAAATGTCTCCATTGAAACTTGAGGAGGTGGTAGAAGATGGGATTTTATACTATAATTTTCTATGCAAAAAGGTTGGGGAAAATAGTGGTTCTTTCATTATGTGGCAGCTCTTGAGAATGGCTGGGTGCTGTTTAATATTATTTATTCAGAATTTTATTCTACTAAAGAAAACAGAGAGGGGCAAAGAAAACACCAAGATTTATTTTTCACTATCTTGGGGCCTTTCTCTGCAGGTAATAGGGAGATGGCTGGAGTGAGCAATGTAGTAAATAGTGTATAAATAAGGTGCTGCCTGCTCCCGGCCCCCAGCAGCGCCCCCTGCTGCTGTTAGGTTTCCGAGCATTTCGGTTTCTGAGATACACAGTTTCCAAGAAATGCTTATGTGTGATCACAACTCAGTCTACTTTGACAAGCCAGTCATTCACTTTTATTACATCATTGACACATTTTGGATGAGAATTTCTAGTAAAAATTCAAATGACGTTTTTTTACTTGAGTGTCAAATAATGCCGTGCCGTCCTCCACTGGGAATGATAATCGTGTGAATCATACTTTTCTTATGTGCCAACTAGACAATGCAGCTTTAATCATCTGACCAGCTTTACTTTGGGCTAGTAACTAATTTCTGCACCTTTGAAACAATCTACATGCCTCTATGGTCTTCTCAAAGCAAAAAAGCTTCTTGCTGGAATGTGTGATAAACTCCCAGATGATCCTACATCAAACTTCCAAGTTCATCCTGGAGGAGGACAGTGCGACCTCCACTCCACAGGCCTAGTCCACTGGGGGATCCTGGGTGTCTCTGGCTTCCATGCCAGATTTCAGAACTACTGTAGCCCTCCCAGAAATTCCCTGGCCTTCTACCTTTGCTAATTTTAACCTTTTTTAAAATTCTAACTCACTTTTCTCAGTCATTGGTGTTGAGTTTCTATTTAACTAACTTCTGAGTACCTTTTGGTGCCAGTCCCTGACCTAGTCCCTTGCAGACCCAATTCCTATCTCCAAGAAGCTCCCAGTCCAGTGAAGGATGTAAAGTCCACTCAACTCTGGGTTTGTAGGTTCTGTGAGAGTACTCTGTATCTTCAGTGCCTGGTACAAATAGGCACTGTTTAAAGTGTTGAACTAATGAATGAGAAATGCATGTGAACAGGAAGACAGAGTGGGTTAAATGCCCTGAGAAAGACCCAAAGCTGGAAGAAAAGGTTCATTGCGACTAGGAAAATCAGAGAAGGCTCCATGGAGGTGGTAATGTGTGAAGGATGAACAGGATTTCTTCAAGCAGGTAAGAATTAAAGGGCTTTCTGGGTATGGCGGACAGGAAAATTATAGAACATGAAAATGCATGCACATGCGCAGATTGGAATGGAGTTTAATGATTGTAACAATGAAAGAAAAAATTTTCCTGATCAAAGAAGAAAGTCTCTTGATCATGCCTTTAGGTCCTCCTACTCTCTGAGGGCAGGAATGGCCATTCATAGCTGACTGGCCCCAGGCCGTCATTAGACCAGAGCTGTGGTGTCTCACTCCTCAGCATGGTGCTGGAATGAGCTAGTTAGGATTATAATAAGCCATTTAAACCAAGGTTAATTCCTCTTTGGCTCAAATTTCCAGATATCTTGCAGTGGCAATGAAGTAGACAGTAAGCACTCCAAACAAAAAATTCCAGTAAAAACACACCAAGTTAACCTGTGTTAAGTGACCTTTAACTGGTCCATAATCTTAAAGCCTAAACTCTACAAAAGTAGACGTCATGTTCAAGCAGTTAACTTTTCCAAACTGCTTAGAGGTCCAAGGGTCAGAAGGGTTTGGAGAGGATGGGGATGGGACAAACGGTGGGAGCTAAGGTTGGCCTCAGCATCTGCAAGGAGTACCACCATGGGCTTCATGTGGTGGCAGGGAAACCAGTGGTGCAGAGTGGCAGGGAGGATTCCACTGGTGGAAAGCAGCCAGAGTGTCAGTGCCAGGCCCACAGGCCCACAGAACAGCTTCTATGGACTGGTCTCTGCCACATCTAGACTGACTTTTTTTTTTTAATGGACCAGAAGTGGCTCTCTTGACAAGAGTCATTTAATATTTTTATTGATTTTTAGAGAGAGAGGAAGGAAGAGAAAGAGCAAGAAACATTGATGTGAGAGTGAAACATCAATGAGCTGCCTCCTGCATACCCCACACCAGAGATCGAGCCTACAACGTGGGCATGTGCCCTGATTGGAAATAAACTGGCAACTTTTCCAATGCATGGGACGACACCCAACTCATTGAGCCACACTGGCCAGGGCTGGACTATCTTTTTAACAAGCTGTTTTCAACCTTGGGAGGACAGAAAGGTTCTAGACAAATGAGAACACTCCTGTGTGTAAGTCATGCTCTGTGCCTGTGCTCAAAGACCCAGGAGAAGGACCAGGCCTAGAAGCTTGGGCCAGCCTCTGGGGCCCACCTCACCTTTTGGAGAAGCTGGCCACCCCTCCGAAAGCACAAGGCACAACTGAGGCTTTATTTTGTTGGGAAAGCTGGGGGCACCAATTATGAGCCCACACCACAGATCTGAGACATAGGGCCTTTCCAGAACGGAACTTCAGCAAAGTCATTTGGGGAAGAGGTTAGACACCCTACTGGAGGGCAGACTGCACTTATTTTTTGTTATGACACTGCCCCATCTACTGGTGTCAGGCAGAAGTACCACCTGGTGAGATGGTTTCTCACAGAACTGGATAAGCCAGTGGTTGAATTAACCCACAGCCAAGTCACAGCTGGAGAAGAGCCGGACTTCTAACTTGACATCTGAGAGTCAGCCTTTTAACTCACAGGAAGCTTTCAGGCTGGCTTTCTCCCACCTTATTTCTTGCATAATGCTCCTCCCTTTTGGCCCCCTGGCCCAACATCCTACTGAATAAACATTGGCTTCGGAGATAACAAATGATGAATCTGGAATCTTCAAAGTCATTCAACAAATATTTGTTGAGAGTCTATTGAGGATGTGACGTAGTTGCTGGGGATATTGCACTGAAGAAGACAGGCAGATCTTTGCCCTCATGGGATTTATATTCTGTGGGGGAGCAGAGAATAAGCAAACAAATAACTAATAAGACATC